ATGTTTGACCTAGGTGATCGATGTCGACCCTAGGGGTTGGCCTTCTTCTGCTTCTGGCTAGTGTGCTTGCTGGTGCTTTGGTCGGAAAATAGACCTGTCTGGTGGCGTATGTGTATGGTGCTAACTCTCTGGTGGGTATCTCTTGGAGCCATCTTTGTGCCCTGGCGTCTTCGGGTGATGGGCAAACAATTGGGATCCTGAGGTCAGGTGGTGGTGGATGTAGATGGGTCCTGGTGGTGCGTGCCATAGGTACCGCCCTGATGTTGGTGTTGGCAGGTGGTGCTTTTGGTGTAGTTGCTTCCGAGGCTGCCGTCTGATTGTAGGTCGGTAGGCGCTGCTGTGGTTGTTGAGTCGTGGCTGCTGGTATTGGCGATGATGCTGGAGTAGTCGGGCGTGTGTCTCGCCTGTCGTGTAAGGAATGCTGGGCATGGTAACTGCGTTGTCGTCGTCGCCTGAGCTGGTGCAAGTGAGTGTGTGTCGGTGGTCTGGTGTGGGTTGCGTGAAGCTGTTGAGTTGCAAATATGTTGCAGGAGTGAAGTTGTTTCGTATATGCGGACGGGCCAATCGTATCTCATAATGTCTTCGTATTTGTGGCATGCGGTGGGCCACTGTGAGACTTCCTGGATGGCGTGTGTGATTTGGTAAGACAGGGGCGCGGTGGAGCCTGTGGACTGTGTATGGAAGTACCTCTTGGTGAAGACTACTGCCAGTCTGAATTCTTCGTTGGTGCGGAAATGGTCGGTAAAGGTTGTCAAGTCATTGCCTAGTCGAAGCTGTGTGTGTGTGTCTGTGTGTGGGCTTGCCTGGTGGAAGGTGGTTGTCGGCTGGTGTTGTGTGCTGAATGCTTGGGTACTTGGTTGGACCAGTGGGTGGGAATTTGCACGTCGAGAGTGGGGTTGCTTGCGGGTCGGGCCGTAGTTGGGGATGCGGTAGGCATTGTTGTAGGTCCTTGTGGGTGACAAGCTCGTTGTTGTACTTGTCTAGGTACTTGTGCCAGCCTGGCAGGAGGAGGTGGTCGTTGGGGAATTGGTAACTGTGAGTGTTGGTTTGCTCGTGGTAGTGGACAGCGTAGTGCCATCGGACGTCGTCGTATCCGTTGTTGTCCGTGTCTCCTCCTCCTCCTCCTCGTCCTCCCCCTCCTCCCCCAGCCCGTTGCAGAAATCACGATTTTGGAGTTCTGGGTATCTCCCCGGGAGGGGAGAGGCGATCCCCAGAGGTATCCATGCAGAGGTCCCCGGAAGCTTCCGAAGGACCAGACATGAATCAGAACGGGCGATGAAGGAGCCCCAAAAGCCCAAATCTTTGACATTTTTCCCCCCTCCCCTCTACCCCGTCGATCCTTCCCCTTTCTCCGTTGTTCTCCTCCTCATCCTGGTGTCAACGTCTACCCTTCCCTTGATGCGTCGGCAGCTGCTCCCAAAGCCCATTGGGAGCAGGTTTTTACTCATCGGGAACCTGCTCGTTTTTTCGGGCCTGAGGTACTGGAGCACGCGCAGCCAATCCAACTAGACACTGTTTCTTTGCGCTTGGACATTGAGTCATTTGCGGGAAGAGTGAGTCACAAACACCACTAGGCCCCTTGGGGGGACGGGATCCATTATGGGTGATGGAAGGCGGGAGGAGCTGCTGATATTTGTTTATATATTATTTTGAGATGTACGATGCCTGTGGAGGGACCGTCTTGGCGAGCATGAGGAGGGTTCGCATGTGTTTCTTGCCGAAACATGTGGAGGAAGACTTGAATCTAGCTGAGCTCGTTCGTGCCCCGGTGAGACCCGACCCCTGACCTTGGCAAAAACGGACGCGACAATACTGAGTAATGCTTCCCCCGATTGGCTTGCAAAGGGCCTGTCGGACTACGATCGACCCGATCCAGCGCGGGGGCGTTCCTGGGGAGGAGCCTCTTGGACAACGTTGTTAGGATCGGATGGTGGGGACTTCGCCAAATATTGACTAGGAGGACCGCTCTTGAATCCTTTGCGCTGAGTTCAATCCTGCTTTCCCCTCATTGATAGTAGCGTGGCTCTTGGCAGTTTCTTTCGGTGGTGCGTGTCCCAGACGAGATTCGTGGTTTCTACGAGGAGCTGTACACAGACAGTATTGCGGTGATTAACTTCCCTGTGGCGTCACCTTTGAAGCTTGTGGTTGCTAGGAGGGGCTCGGCAGGGAGATCCTTCATCGATGTTACTGTTCGCGTGTGCCCTTGACCCAGTCTTGAGATGGATGACGGCGAAGTTAACATGACACGTTTCACGGATACGAGCCTACGCTGACGATATTGGTTTGGGTATTGTTCATGTGGTTCTGCGTATTGGATTTCGGCTTGGGCGTGGTGTTTTATCGAATGGTTTGAATAACGTGATCCCGAAGTTCAGGATGACCGTTCGGAGGCTCCGTGGGCTTGGCCTGGGGCTCCCGCAGACGGTCCGACTCTTCCACTCCCGCTTTATGTCGACCCTGGTATACCAGCAGCAGTTATGCCCCGTGTCGAAGCAGCCGCGGGAAGCAGATAACGAAGCGCTACAGCTGATTACTGAAGGCCCTCGCCATGCCTTTCTAGGGAGATGCTGACCGGACTTCGTGCGCTAAGAGTTTATGTTTTGGGCATTGATTATTTCTCGAAGGTAATCAGTTTTCGGGTCTTGGTTTCTTGTTCTAGTCGGGATGCTAGTCAGTATGATGTTGAGTCGTTAACGCTTTCTCTCGAGGGCGACGAGCTTATCCCCGCGCGGACCATCTGGGCTTGGTGGAGACAATCTTGAATCAGGACGACGGTGGATGAAGTAGGAAACTTCTTCATTGTCCCCATCTTCGCGCCCACACCCAGGATGGAGTTTCAGGAAAGAGCCATGACGCGGCTGAAGTCCATCCGTTAGACCAATGCTCCCCTCCGCATTTTAGCCGTGAGGGTGCCCAAGTGGGTGGGACCCGACCGTTTCTCGGTCTCAGATGTCTTGGAATTGGCTAGGAGGATGTGACAAGTAGAGAAGGACAGCGCGGTGCGTTTTGTGACAAGAGTCCTCAAGGCTCTGTGTCGGGGAGTATGTACGTCGAGCCGCCTTCTCACGACTCTGCTAGGTTGTCCCTTTTGTTGTGCTGAGGAGACTGCTGATGATGACTTTCGGCATTATCGTGTGTGCCCGAAGCTCAATCGTTGCTTCGCCGGTATCTTTCACCGCGATGGAATTCTTGCTTCGTGGACTGAGCAGCTGGTAGGGGAGGAGTGGCTTTGAATTCTCTCCTGTCTGTGGCATCACTGGGGGTAGTCCCGTGACCTGATGGGGCGTACTCTGACTGATGGGCTCCTGGCGGCCCATAGCGCCCGTCGGGCGGGTTCCTAGGTCCCCGGGGACTTCCTGGTCGAAGCTCGGCTGAGACACTTGTTTCGCCGTCGCCCCGAACTGCTGAGAGTGCTTCGGTCGCTTCGTGTAGTTGCCACCGATCGGCGCGCCCTCCCTCCCCCTCCGCTTGTGCCTCCTGCCCCCTTCCCCCTGGATGAGATGTCGAGGACCGCCCGCCTTCTCCCGTGGCCCCCTAGTCCCCTCCCCGCACGCCCCCTGCCCCTGTGTGTAGTTGACAAAGGTTGCGACCTTTGGGGTCTTCTGAACTTGGACGACTGGCTTTCCGAGGTGTGTTCTCTGATTTAGAGTGGCCTGGGTCGTTGCGGGACGTTGCTCTTGCTCTTTGGGCTAATTCAGGGTCTGCCGTGTTTCCCTGGGGGTGCCTGGAGGGGCCCTGTCCGTTGCCTGCCTTCCTTTCCTTCTCCTCTCCTTTCCTTTCCTTTGCTGTCTGTTTCCTCTGTCGTCCCGCCGCCGGCTCGCCCCGTCTCCGCCGTCGGTTTCGGCTCCTTTTTCGTCCTCAGTTTGTCGTTTCCTGCGGTTCCCTCGGTTTGCTCCTCGTACTGCTCTCTCGCCCTCGCTTGGTCTGTCCCTTGTCTCCCTTCATTCCTGTTCCCTGTTGCTGACTGGTCCTCCTTATTGCGTCCGTGTCTTGCGTTCGGCCTGCTCTCTCACGGCCGGCGGGCAGAGAGAGAGAGAGAAGATAGCAGCAGCACAAACAAAGAGACGGCCCGCCGCCCCTTCCGCGGCCCCGCGCTGCCGCCGCGCTATTCCGCCACGCCACCGCCCGCCGTGTTGGGCTTGACAAATGGTTCCCCGACCGAGCCTCCTTCGGCGGGGCGGTCTTCCTGCTTTGGGGAGTAGAGCGTGGCGTTTGGCTGGCTGGCTGCTTCCGGCAGTTAGTAATCATCACACATGCTCGCAAGCGGCATGCGGCGCCTCGAGCGCAGTGTTCCCGAGAGCCTCGACCTGGCCCACCCCTCCCCGCGCCAGGTTCCCGACGAAGTTTGATGCACATGCGGCGCCCCGCTGCTATCGTCCACTTTCGCCTTGCCTCCCTGCGCCAAATTCCCGACGTGGTTCAAGGCGTCCTGATGCGCAGTTCGGCTTCTCTCTTGTTGTTCTGTCTTCGTTTTTCTGGTGCGTGCCCCGCTGTCGTGCTTCTGCCTTGCCGCCGTGGTTGGGTTGGGCCTGTCGCTCGGTGGGGGGCGATCGTGGTTCGGAATTGTGCATGAGTGGCGATTCGCTCTCGTGGTTCGGAATCGTGCATGAGTGGCGATTCGCTCGGATCGCGATGGTCTGATTTTGATGGGGGCGCGCGCCCCCACGGACAGTGGACTCCTCGTGCAGAGTGCCCGCCGCTGCTTCACTTTACTTGAACTGCTTCCGTCTTCTCCCCTCATCCCCCGCACGTGCAGTGTTCGACCTGAAATGGACATGGCGAGTGCGCCTGCGGTAGGAAAGAAGCACTCGTCCTCCTCCTCCTCCTCCTCCTCCTCCACCTCCTCCTCGATCTTCTATTATCCCTACGCATTACATGTTTGAGGCCACGGCTTCCGCGCCATGCAATGATTGGCATGGGCGGGCTCCCCAGAGGAGCGCGCGTGACTCCGGCGGTCGCTTCGATTTGCTTCTATTATCCTCATCCCGCCCGCCGCCGAGGATTACCGCAGGCGGGTCGCCAGCTACAAAGCAGCCGCGGCGGCCGCGGGGAGCGGGGACTAGGAAGAGGACCAGGCGGAACAGGAGGAGCAGGAGGAGCAACATGTACGAGGGAAGGGCATGCGAGGAGGAGAAGGAGGAGGAGGAGGAGGAGGAGGAGGTCTGGGAGGAGGAGGAGGAGGAGCTTAGGAGGAGGAGGAGGAGGAGGAGGAGGAGGAGGAGGAGGAGCGAATGGGGATGGAGGCAGGCAGGGGTTCGGCTAAGGAAGAGAAGGGAGGAAGGAGGGAGTAGCGAGAAGTGAGGGGGGTATGGGAGGAATAGGAGCGAGGCACGGTGAAAGGTGGAAACATAACAAAAAAACTGACGGAGGAGGAAGGGAGGGGGAAGGAGGATGAGAGAGAGGAGCAGGCATGACGCGAGGCCTGATGTTTTGGCTCTGGATGGCTCCCACGAGCCGAGGAGTCATGCAACACGTACATGAGAGAGAAGAGGAGCCGGGTGAGGGCGCTGAGTGAGCCCGCAAGGAGAGCGGAGTGAGGGCGGCCCACGACGAGGGAGGTTGACACAAACGCAAACACGCAACCCAGCTGCAGTCTAGCTAGAATGGTTAAAACGCACAGGGGGGAGGGGGGGCGGGGGGAAGGGGGTGAGCAAACGCCATAGGCGGCCTCACCCTCAAGGGGCGCCCAAACCCGCTGGGGAAACAGGGATCCATTCACCAGGACAAGAGAGGGAGGGAAGAGGAGGGTCAGGAAAGAGGAAAACATGATAGAGGGAGAGAGAGGAGAGAGGAAGGAGGGGCGGAACCCGATCGCGGAGGAGGAGAAGAAGGAGGAGGAGGATGAGGAAGACGGAGGCGAAGGAACAGGAGGGAATAGAAATGATTAGCAGGTGGAGGTAGGGATGGGGGGAGATTGGCGGGATAGTGGGGGAGCGAGGATGGGGGACGAGCAGGGAGCAGGGCAGCCGCGTGTCCTCCCAGGCTTCAGGGCGGGCCGGGAGAAGAGCCGCGGGCGACGGCCCAGGGCGGGCCTGACCTCAGGAGAGGACGCAGAAGCTGCCCACGGCGCCGAAGACGATGCCGAAAAGTGCATGGAAGGTCGCGGGGACTATGCCGAGGAGCGCCGCCATGACCGAACACTGCGGCATACCAGCGGTCACCGCCCCGTGCAGCACGAGGGGCGGCACGCCAGGCGACACGGCGTCACGGCACACAGAGATGCAGACAGCGTGCAAGACGAAGTCGGCGAAGGCGAAGCGCCGCGAGAACACGCTCCACTGAGCGGCATGCTTCCCTCATCCACCAGCCGCGGGAACCCCTGGCAGGTATTGAGGCATTCCCGATCGGCTCGCCATTCACCTTCAAGTCAGCTCTCTGCCACTCTTCGGATGCCTGCCCTCCTTGAGTCGCTTCAGCCGCAACTTCAGGTTGGAGAGTTAGGTCGGGCCCTTGCCAGCCGCCGAAGGCAGACCACCAAAGGGCTCCAGCAGGGCCCTGGAGGTGCCTGCGCCCGACCAGGCCACGCACACCTCGCAGCACACGGCGGGCCCTGCGCGGCAAAGGCGGCGGCCGTCGACGATGACAGTGCAATCGCCAGCGGCCCAGCGAGACTCGCATGGCTCCTCCTGCAGGCCAGGGTCCTCGAGGCAGGGCGCCGCGTCGAATGCCTCTATGGCGAACGGCCCCGTTGCAGAGGGCGCAAGCGCGCGCGCTTCCACGTGCTGGATGGTGACCGCCTTCACCTGCGATAGCTCCGAGGGCTCGCAGGGTGCTCTGAGGAACTCTTGAGGAACTGGCTACAGGTCAGGCCGCTGGGCTTGGACGTGGAGAGAAAGAGGCCCTGCACAGCACAGGTCCGACACCGACGAAACGCACGAGTCGATACCGAGCCATTGCAGCAGTTGGCGCTTGGGCGAGCGCCCTGGGCGGCTCGAAGCGGCAAGCGGGCTCCCACCTCGTCGCTCTGAGCGACCGATGCATGGTACACCCGATGTAGGCCGCCACGCTCTTGTGGAGGAGGAGGAGGAGGAGGAAAAGGAGGAGGAGGAGGAGGAGGAGGAGGAGGAGCAGCATAATGAGAAGAACGAGAAGAGTGTGGAGAGGGAAAAGAGAGGAGGAGGAGCAGAGGAGGGTGGAGGCGAATGGGGGCCTGGAGAAGGAGGGGCGGGAGGCGGGGAAGGAAGCCGCCCACGCTCGTCCGCACTCCCGCCTGGGGGGAGGTCCAGCGCAGCAGGGGCACCTTCCAGTCCAAGGCCGCAGGCGCTCCGCCTCAGGCTGCCGGCGTGGGCATCTCTTGTGGCCTGTTTCGCTGCTCGCTTGGCCTCGCTCGGACATGTGCGTTTTTGCTCGGCGAGAACCATCGAGGACCATCCTGGACCATCGAGGAAGAAAAACATGCACGAAACCGAGAAAGCACGGGAAATGGACGTCCGAGCGATGGCAAGGGCCTGTTCCGCTGCTCGTCGTTGCTCGAACTGTGCGCCCAGGCCTCCGGGGGCTGCCCTGGCGCCGTGCATACTCGGCTTCCAAAGTGTCCTTAGCTGCGTAAGTAGATGCCAAGTCCGTTCCAACTCCTGCAGCCTCCTGGGCACGTTCCTTAACGAACACCCCCATCGTATTGGGGTCTCCCCTTGGACTCGCGCGCGTTCGCATACAGAACCCACCAGCTACACTCACGTGACACTTCCTCGACCTCCTACGATCCAGCGTTCCATATTGTGCAACGCCAAACACGATTGGATGGCGGGACCCTGTTCTGAACGGAGCCCTCGTGTGAGACTTCCGCGAAGCGTGCGTCCACAACTTTGATATTTTGCAGCGCTAAATCGAGGGAAGGCATGTTCTTGTCAAAATGAGGCTGTCCAAGGGTCCTTCAGGGCTCTCGCGTGGAACTTCCGCGGGGCAGACGTCCACGACTTGGACATCCTGCAACGCTTCGACGGATGAAGGGCGTGTGCTTCTCGCCATGTGGCAACCCTGGGCGCCCCTCACGTGGGGGGAAGATCCTTTACAACAGGAGCCCTCGTCTGCTTGGCGGACCGGCTGGCCGCTCGTCACTCAAAGGGGAGGTGCCCGCAGTGGAAATGACGGGGACTTGGGAAGGGAAGGTGTAGTGCAGCATCGGTTGATGCACTTTGGGTTGATTCTGGTCTTCTTCTTTCTCCTGCTCCTCCTCCTTCTCCTTCCCCTCCTCCTCCTCCTCCTCCTTCTCCTCCTCCTCCTCCTTCTCCTCCTCCTTCCCTCCTCCTCCTCCTCATCCTCCTCCTTCTCCTCCTCTTCTTCCTCCTCCTCCTCCTTCCCTCCTCCTCCTTCTCCTCCTCCTCCTCCGCCTCCTCCTCCTCCTATTCAAGGACTCTTCAGCCTCCCCCTCCTCGTCCGCATCATACTCGCATCCTCTCCCTCCAACCCTTCCTCCCCCATGAGCTGCCTATTCCCCCAAGGTTGTTGCGGGTGTCGTTGCACTGGCAGCTTCGGCCGAAATGTTGAGACCGATCTGGCGCATCTGTTCCGGATGCCTATCACGCCTGCCGGCCATTTGGGAAGTTTCATGTGGGGCCTTGCCGTCGACGAATCGAGGATTTGATTCCTCGTAGCGAAGGCAGATTCCGGCAGCGACAAAACGCGAGGGAGGCGGAGGAGGAGGAGCGAGGGAGGAGGAGGAGCGAGGGAGGAGGAGGAGCGAGGGAGGAGGAGGAGCGAGGAGGAGGAGGAGGAGGAGGAGGAGGAGGAGGAGGAGGAGGAGGAGGAGAGGGGAGGAGGAGAGGAGGAGGAGGAGGAGGAGGAGGAGGAGGAGGAGGAGGAGGAGGAGGAGGGAGGAGGAGGAGGAGGAGGAGGAGAGGAGGAGGAGGAGGAGGAGGGGGGGCTGGAGAGAAAAAGGGGGGGGGTCGGGGCACTGAGGTCAGAGCCGCTCCGCCAGTCCAAGACGGCGGAGGGTTGGCAGAGGTGCGAGCTGGGCTCGGAAAGGGGGTCAGAATCACGCCACCCAGGGCCGACGGAGCTGGCAATTTTTGACCCCTTGCATGCGGGGGGGAGGAACAGCGAGGATAAGGGGAATACATATATACATCTAGCGTGGGGAGGATGAAGATGAGGGTCGGAGGAGGAGGAGGCACCCATACCGCTGCCCTTCGCCCGTTTTCCCCTTTTTGGGCCTTCTGGGAGACTCTCGTCGCCACCACTGGATTCGGCTCGAAATCCTGGTCAGAGGGCACCCCGGGAGAGGTCCCGGGAGTACCGGTGTCGGTACCTTTTGATTTCCCCAGTGGGAGGGGAAGTCGGGGAAAATGGAGAACAAGCAGGCGGGAGTGGTGGGCGGAGCAGCAAGCGGCGCAGGAGGAGGAGGAGGAGGAGGAGGCGGAGGAGGAAGGGCCAGAGTGAGCCACGGATCCGCGGCACTGCACAACGCGAGTCTCCTCCTCACAGGTCTCCTCCTCGCAGGTCCTTGCCCGCGGTCTCTCCTGCTCCGCAGAGCGCCCCCCTCGAAGGACGGCCGCCACGTGGGCCCGCCATTCGGGCGGGAGCTCCGTTTTGAAGAGCGTCTGCCGTCCATCCGTGGAGCCCTGGGCCACACAGCCAAGACGCTGAAGTAAGGAACAGTTTGGAGTCGGAAGGGGCTCGATGTTCCTTACGTCCTTCCGCGGTTGCTCCTCTAGCCCTTCTCGTGCACCCAGGCTTTTTTGAGGCCGCAGAGCGGCTTCGTTCCTTATTTAGCGTTCCTTATTTCAGCAACCCGATTGTGGAGACGGAAGAGGAGCAGCCTTAGGAGTCCTTCGGAATCTTTGCTACTCGACATGGGAAGAGAGCAGCTTCGATTCGGATCTTTCCCCCGCGAAAAAAAGTCGGCCTTGCCGCCTCTCGTTCCTGACCAAACCGGTACTGGCCCGAAATAATCAACTCTCCGTCGTGAAGGGGGAGGGGGGACCGGGTCCCCCCTCCCCCGGATAATCATAGGGTCCCCGGGGCCCTATGATTATCCGGGGGTGGCGGTTATGTCCTCCTTCCCGCTCTGCCTCTGATGAGCCTTGCGCGGTGTATGGGGCCCAGGAATCTGCCAATGGGCTAAGAGAAGACCGCACGGGCCAAGAACAAGATGGACCGACAACCTCTGAGGGGCTGCGGACACGCCGCCGTCCTCTTCAGGAGGCGCTCCCCGCGCATGCGCGGAGCGGAGTCGGCGCTCGCCTCGCTTCGCTGTGCCTCTGATGATCCTTGCGCGTGCGGAGGGGGGGAGGGGAAGTCCCCAGGACCCTCGACATCGTGATCTTTTCTCACGCCGTGGGCTCCCCCCGGGCTGTTCTTTGACGCTCCCGGGTCACGGCGGGTGCCGAAAGTTGCCGAAAGCCTCTTGTCATGGTTGTTTCAAGACGAGAGATCCGGGTCTACTCCTCGAAGAACGGCGAAAAGGGCGCGCGACACGAAGAAGCGCAGTCCAACAAATTGTCGGAGGCTCGCGCGGATTTTCTGGATGGACACCGGATGCCCTGGCGCGCTCCGCGCGCCCGGGAGAGGAATCCAGCGCCTATCAATTGAACCCGCGCAGACATCCGAAAGTTTGTGTTTCCATTTTTTTGCAGTTTTTCTTCCTCTCGTCCCGTGGAGTAGTATGGGTGCGATTTGAGGGTATCCTTCCAGGCCTCCTACATGGGGTCGAAGTAGATAGGGTCGGTGGGATCACGCCGCGTCGCCGATGCATCAGCGATGCGTTTCCATGTGGAGCCCAAGATTCTCGACCCCGACGGCGCCGATGCATCCATGACGCGATGCGATCTTCCGACCCACTTGTGAGGCCCAAAGCCCGGATAGCGGAGCGCCAGAGAGCCTTTGAAACGCCTTTGGAAGGAGCCCTGAGAGCTCTTGGAGAGCTTCCGAAGGAGCTCCTGGAGAGCTTCCCGGTACACGTGTTGGGAGACCCATTATCCCAGTGCGACCAAGCAGCATTGGTAGTAACAGTAAAGCTAAGCTAAAGCTAAGCTGAAGCTAAGCTGAAGCTAAGCTGAAGCTAAGCTAAAGCTAAGCTAAAGTTAAGCTAAAGTTAAAGCTAAAGCTCCCAGGGGACTGGGGGAACCGCGGGGCGGGGACTGGGGGAACCGCCCGGGGCGAGTTCCACTGCCCGGCCCCTTTAAGAAAGAGAGTAAGAACCTTCTAGGCAGAGCCTAGGTAGGGAATAAGAAAAGGACGCGATGCGCTCCTCCGACCCCGCCTTTTCGCACCCAGTCCGTGCGGCTTCCGGCCCCAGGCCGCTCGGTAGCCATCTTTGCCCAGGGCGCCCGCCAGAGCAGGTGCCGCCCGCCCCCCTCTTGCGTGGAGAGCGCGTGCTGCCCGATGAAGCGCCAGCTGGAGCCGGAGCACGAGGGCCAGCGGCCCTCGCGGAAGCCGCTGGCCACCAGTCCACGAAGCCTCGGGGGCCCAGGGCCGCAGCTCGTTCTCCTCCTCCTCCTCCTCCACCTCCTCCACCTCCTCCTCCTCCTACTCCTCCTCCTCATCCTCCCGGACCTCCTCCTCCTTCGCCTCTTCCTCCAGCAACCGTAGGGGGGGATAGGCCCAGGAGAGGATCAGCCCCCAATCACCCAGTGATCGCTGAGAGGGACCCGGTAGCCCACCCCGCCCAGGGACGTGGGGATTCGCAATCGGGGGCGCATCGTTGATGCATCGGCGATGTATCGCCGATTCCAGGTCGGTGTTCCGCCCTGAGCTGGTCCCCCCCTAAGGTTCGCCTTCAGATCCCCAGAGTCCAGGCGATGTAATTGTTTCAGTTCCGGCGTGTTGTTGGGCCCCAGGACCATCAAAAGTGGATCCGGGACGACAGACTACCCCCGGGGAGAGGATCGCGACCTCCTTGGGGCCGCGCGCTGACAAGTTCACATCGTCGTCGGATGTCTGGGACGCTAGCGCACCCCAGACATCGGAGAAGACAGCAAACAAATGCCACACATCAGTTTTCTGAGGTCCGCGCGGATTTGCTGGATCGGCGCTGGACCTCTCTCCCTGGCGCGCCGAGTGCGCCAGGGATAGCGCTGGAGGCGCCGCCAGGGGTGTCCATCTCCGTTCCAACAAATACGCGCAGACCTCCGAACGTGCACGTTGATAGTATTTGTGTGTCGTTCTCACACATCAGAGGAATGGTTTCTGCAATCCTGGAGCTGGTCGTTCACGTCGGTCTCCAGGGATCGTTTTCGGGCCACGCGACCATCCGAGACGGGTCCGAGGCGAAAGCTGCTGCTGGGGAAGAAGTCGGGACCTCTGGAGCCGCGGGTTGAGCACATCGAATCGTGGGATGTCTGGTTCCCCGAGTGGCTCTCCGAGGCCCAGACCGTCATTGGAGGCCCCGGGGAGCTTCCGAAGGGCAAGGAACCCAGCCAAGAACTTCTAGCTCCTGAAGTCTCCTCCGTGTTTCCCTCCCTCCATCCCTCCACTCTCTTCCTCTTCTTCTTGGACGGGGTATGGGGGAAACGGAAAGGAAGAAGAGCGCGGCTTCAGATCCCCAGCGCGGAAGTTTGAGCCTCCACTCTGGAGGCCCATTTCCCCCAGCCTAGAGGTTGGAAGACGTGGATTCTGGAGGTCTGGGGCTCCCTTGGGGTGAGCACGAGGTGGAGGACGAGAGGGTGGAGGAGAAGTAGGGCGACCAGTGTAGCCCAAGATCCGTCAACGATGTTGCAAGAACCCCTCGTTCCAAGCTCCCTCTTCACAGGCCGCTGCAAAGATTGAGTTTCACTGGGGGGAGGTGCCTCGTTGGAAGACGACCGTCTGAAAATCAGGAACCGTGCCAGAACACAGTTCCTGGATCTTCAACGCCGCGAATCAACCTTATTGCTGCGCCGTGACGATCCTGAATCGCGCCAGAACGCCGTTCTTGGGACTTCAACACCGCGTAGCAGAGTGACGGCTGCCCCCTGACGTTTATACATCGCTCCCGAACACAATTTCTGGGACGTCAGCCATCATAATATTTGAAGCTGATGTCAACTCTTACAACGAATGCGCTCGGCGCTAAGGCAAGAGCCACACTTTGACAACGGCCCGCCCTCCATCGGTGAAGTTCTTGCAAGTGTTTCAGACGAATGTGCGCGCTGCGACGGCGAGAGCCGCAGTTTGAAAAGGAACCGCCCTCCACACGTGAAACACTCGCAACTTGTTGACGCTTCGCGAATCCCCACCAGCCCATCCAGAAACGATGCCCAGAGGAATTGCCTCGATCAGGGAAGCGGGCAGCACACAGAGGAAGGGTCCCCCAGTGGAGGCTTCTTGGGGCACCTTGGGGGTCTCCTGGCGGTCCCGGACGCCTCTTAGAGCGTCTTGGGTGCCTCGGAGAGCTTCTTGGGGCCTCTTGGGGGTCTCTTGGGAGCCTCTTGGAGGCCTCTTGGGCGCCTCTTGGGGCCTCCTGGGGCCTCCTGGACGCCTCTTGGGGCCCTGTTGAAGCGCTCTTGGGAGCCTTGGGAGCGCTCTTGGAGCCCTCTTGGGCCATCTTGGAGCCATCTTGAGGCCTCGGCGAGAAAGCCAAAAACATTGATGTTGCTAAGGTTTTGGAAGGATTTGGGCCTCTTCGGGGCATCCTGGGAGAGCTCTTTGGCCACTTGGAGCCGTCTTGGAGCGGTCTTGGGGCCTCTTAGAGCATCGTGGGCGCCATCTTGAGGCATCTTGGGATATCTTGAGCCATCTTGAAGATTGGTTGTGCGTTGCACGTGATTGCTTTGAGGTTCTTTATATGTTGCAGCCCTCCAGCAGCCCCCATATCGCTGCTGGGGCTCAAGCTCTCAGCGGGTATGCGAGCCTACCCGACCAGAGCGGTAGGCGCCGTGGCCACGTTCCTGGCAGGGTTCTTGGCGCACGACGTGCTGGGGCCCGCGCTGGTGCACGAGGCGAGCGGCCTGCCACCGCGCAGCGGGCCAGGCCACGAGCTGGAGGTCAGCTCGACCAGCAGCACCTCCACGAGCACCAGCGCCGCGCTGGCTTGCTTGTGCCCGGCGCCGCCGGCGCCGAAGGAGCCCGAGCCGTCGCCGCTTCGAGTGGCAGGCGCGGGGCTCGACGCGACCGTGGAGGTGCCGCTTGCCGTGGCGCTGGGTGTCGGGACGCTGGTGACGCTGGCCGCCGCTGCTCGCTGCTGGAGCCGAGTGGAGGATCAGGCCGTGGCACGGAAGGTGTTCGAGCCGATAGGTGAGTCACGGATCCACTTGGCCTAGTCCCAGTGACGATGGCTGACAACAATTGCCCTGGGCTCAGGGTGCTAGTGACGTACAGTGACGACCCGGGCTGGACGCACGAGCGAGTGCTACTGTGGCCGCACAATGAGGCTCGCACGAGCTGGCAGATCTACACGCCTGGCAACGACTTATATGCTGAGGACTTCGTGGACTACGCCTCGCTCATCCCCATGACGGGGCGGAGGCGTTGCCCACCGGGCGTCAGGAACGTGGTAGCGTTCAACAGGAGTCTGCAGGCAGCCGAGTTGGTCTCGCTCATCAGGCGTGGTCGAGGCGAGGCCGTCCTCGAGCATGGACCGCTAGCGAACGGCTGGTGGGCCGGCGCTGGGCAGGACTGGCTCGGAGGCAGGTTGGACATCCCCGCGCCGACGGCTGTGGAGGTGCCTCGCGTGCGGCGTCGCCTGCGCAGGAAGGGCGCGGAAGTCCAGACCGACCTCCCGGTGTTCGGTGACGGGAGCCCCCCTCCCCCGCCGCCGCCTTCGGAGCGGCCGCCAGGGTCGTGGGTTCGTTGCTCCTTCGAGGACAGCGACTTCGGACAGATGGTACCCCTCTCAGCTGCTGCCATCCTGCGAGGCCGCTATGGGCTCGACAAGGATGAGATGGGTGAGTGGCGTCCCATAGAGTACGTGCTGGACGATCAGGCCGACAGCTGGCGAGATGACAAGTTGGTGGCGGCAGATCGGCAGCGACCACCACGAAGCGCCCTTGACGATCGGCTCTTCGGCAACGGCGGGGGCGGTACCGCCACGCCCCCTGGGGGGCCCACGGTTGCGGCTGTCGCGGCGGGCACTGGCGAAGAGCAGGCCGAGGATCTGCGCACGTGCTGGATCGACGTCGACGAGACAGGTTCGAGGTTCAAGGAGTGGCGCGAGGTAGTGCAGGAGAGTACGCAGGAGGTGTTCTCTGACTCGAGCCTGCGCGGGCCGCCTGCCTGCCTGGAGGTGCGCCGCAAGATGTATCGGCACGGCGGCACACCCAAGATCTGGTTCCAGGAGTGGTGCAAGGAGACAGGGATCTCTCGACGGGATCGTGCTTACCACGAGGTGCAGACGCTCATCGAGTGCCTGTGCCTCGCGGGCACCTACGACCAGGTGAACATGGGAGCTCTGGCATCGCTGGAGGTGATCGCCCGCCGGCTGCTGCAGTGCACGGAGGCATGCGCGCACGGGGCGGACCACGCGAACTGGGCGGCGGCGAAGCACCTGGCGGGGACGACGAACCCGCTGGACCTGGTGCCCGAGGCGCTGCGGAGCTACGCCAGCCGGCTGAGCAAGGAGGAGCACGAGCTGGAGGCGCTGCGGGCGCGGGCAAAGACGCCTGCAGCCTTCTCGGCTGAGGGCGGTCGCGGCGCTGCGGCTGCCGCGGTGGACGCTGGCGGCTTGCCGATCGGAGGCGGCGCTGGAGGTGGCGGGGCTGGAGATGGTGCCGATGCAGGCCGCGGCCGCGGCCGCGGCCGAGGCCGAGGCGGGCGGGGTCGAGGCCCCCGCCCGCCGGACTCATGACGTCCTTGGCGGAGGGGGGCGGGCGCCCGACCGCTCCCTGCAGATCGAAGGGCACCAGAGGGCTACGCGGCGCTTCCTTCTTGCCGTTGGCCCCTCTGAGCGGGCTGCCTCCCGAGTGGTGCGAGGGGCTCAGCGCGGCGCAGCGCCGTCGCTGGCTTCGGGGCGGCAACGCTGGCTTCGAGAGCTTGAATTACTTGCATGGAGGCATCCACCGAGGCGATCGGGCACCAGCGAGACTGACAAGCCAGATGAAGATGGATGCCATTTCGGCGGACGTGCAGCAGCGCGTTTTCTCGGCGGCTCGCCGGTGGATAGACGTTGACAGCGCCGTCAGTGAGGGGGAGGCCCTTGCCAGGCTTCTCAAGGGCTAGGCGGGGTATGCCCCCCTTGGCTCGACCGGCATGGGCTCCTACGAGTACTCGCGGGTGAGCTTGCCAGACAGTCGTCGACGCGCCGTCTCTGGCCACCATGCTCCCTGCGCAGGCAAAGGAATACCTCGAGGAGCTTGCTTCCAGGATGCTGCTACCGCCTCAGGAGGCAGCACTAATACGAGAACTTGATGGGCTTCCTGGTTGTCACACCGACCCTCTGCTGCTGCCGCGGCCGCGGAGCTATGGGAAGTTCGCGCGGCGAGCGCTTTCGATAGGCCTAGTCACTCTGCCACAGAGGCCTAAGAGCGTGCTTGGATTATTTGTTGTGAAGAAGAAGGATGGGGCTCGTCTTCGCCTCATCGTCGACTGCAGGCGGAGCAACGCCTTGTTCCGCCCTCCTCCCGGGGTCGACTTGCTGTCGGGCGAGGGGCTCGGCCGCGTAGAGATGCCCATCATGGGGGCCTCCGACTTTGCCGGGCTCTGTGCGGTGCTTGGCGTGGGCGACGCGGCCGACTGTTTCCACGGGATGAAGCTGCAGGGCGACATCAGGCACTACTTCAGCTGGCCGCCACTGGATGCTGCTCTGACTGGAGAGACATTGGTCGAAAGACGCCCTGTGCACGCCGGCGAGCAGGTTTGGCCGATGAGCCAGAGCCTGCCAATGGGCTTTTCGTGGTCCCTGTACTTCGCCCAGGCCGCCAACCAGCGCAGGCTCGACCGACAGCCGTCGTTGGCGGGCAGCCTGCGTTTGAGCGATCGCGGGCCGCCGCTTGTCCTTGGACGAGGTACCGTGGGGTCGGAATTGGGCCACTACATGTACGTCGACAATGCTGGCGTGATCGGGTTCGACGCAGCGCGTGTGACATGCGCGCTGCAGGAGGCCCAGCGCGACTTCGATGGCGATCATCTGAAGTTCCACGAGGTGGAGGTGATGCCTGAGGGAGGTCGCACCCTGGGCTGCTATCTCGACGGCAGGCACCGAGCGACCCGCCCTACTGACGAGAGGTTCGCCATGGTGCGGAAGGGGGTGAGGTGCTTGCTGAGGAGACGCAAGGTTGCCGGCTGGCAGCTGGAGATGGTGCTGGGCCACATGACCTTCATGGCCCTGGTTCGCCGCGAAGTGTTGTCCATCTTCCACTCGGTCTACGCCTTTGTGGCGCAGAGCTACCATGCCTTCTCCGAGCTGTGGCCCACCGTGCGCGAGGAGTTGAACTGCTACCTGGGCATCATGGTGATGCTGGAGTCGAGTTGGACCAGGCCGTGGATGCCAGTGGTCTACCCCTCCGACGCCAGCCTGCACGGCTACGGGGTGGCGGAGGCCTGCTCCGGGACCGAGACGGTGGCGGAGATCGGCCGCGTATCGGAGCTGGCGCGGTGGCGGCTGGGAGCTGGGCTAGCGAGACAGCATGCCTTCGAGTGCGCTGGCTTCCTCTTGGACAGCGAGACCGGCGAGGTCGTCCGAGATGAGGCGGGGGCTCCGAAGCGGCTGGACGCCGAGCTCCAGCGCGTGCTGGCCAGCGAGCGCTGGGAGCTGGACCCGAGCTTCCCCGAGGTGCCCAGCTGGCTCCTGAATGACTCGCATTGGGCCACGGTCATGGCCGACCGTTGGGCCTTCGCCGATGATATCCTTAGACTTGAGGCACGAGCGCTGGTGAAGGCTGCAGCTCGTGCCGCGCACTGTCAGCCTGTAAAAGAATGCCGTACCCTTTTGCTAGGAGATGATCTCGCTGTCGTGTTGTGCTTTTGCAGGTTCAGGTCCAGGGATTTCCGGCTTCTAATTCAGGTCCGCCGCTTCGCTGCCCTGTGCTTTGCTAGAGACATCAAGTTTGTTGTTCGTTGGATTCCGTCTGAGGTCAATTCTGGCGACGAGGGAAGTCGAAGGTTCGATCCTGCTTATGATGCACAGAAGACCCTCGTTGCCCATCTTGGCTCAAACTCGTTGTCACCCCAGGTTCCCGCGGACCCTGTCGATGCTTCCGCAGCGGAGGCCCGCGGCGGCAGAGATCAGTCGGCGGCGGACGCTGAGCCGCACTGCGGTGCCGACGCCAGCCGCCCCGCTCGAGGCAGGCCGCAGGCGCACGCGGGCGCTGAGCAGCCCTGGTCGCCCGCTGGATTCAGGAGGGCCGCCGCCAGCGCAGAGGTCTCGCACGCTGGACCAGAGACGCGGGCTGGCCGCGAGGCTGGTGCTGGAGGGCGCCGCCCGACCGCCGCAGCAGAGCTCTGTGGAAGCTTGCTTGCAGCTGAGCCCCGGCGGGCCGCACCTGGCCGACCAGGCCGTCGCCGGCCACGGGGTTGCCGAGGTCGCGGCGGAGAGCGAGAGCATCGAGAGCAGCGACGTCGAGGAGCCGCCGGCTGCCGCGCGCTCCCGCAGGCGTCTGGAGACGTGCGGGAAGGCTCGGGTCAGGAAGGCGATCGAGGTGCTGGAGATCACAGAGACGGGCAAGGACGACGTGAAGCTGGGCATCAGCTACCTCGAGAAGAGGTCGGTGGGCGCAGGCACCTTGGAGACCTACCGCCAGCGCGCGCTCGCATTCTGCGTCTGGGCCCGCTGCTGCCTCACAGCCCTGCCCGAGCTCAAGGAGCTGGGCGGCCAGCTGGTCGAATATATGAACGAGGAGTTTCTGAAGGGCGTCAAGGCCTGGCGGGGCGAGAAGCTGCTCGCTGGGCTGATGTTCTTCCACCCGGACTTCGGCCGCCTGGGCGGTTTGCATCTCCCGAGGTCCTTGCGCTGCCTGAAAGGGTGGAAGAAGCTTTCACCATCTCGATCTCGGAAGCCCTTGGTGTTCGCGATCTGGGCGGCGTTGGCAGTGGAGCTCTGCCGCCTGGGGGCGCCTCTGGTAGGCGCAATGGTGCTAATCATGATGGAGTGCTACCTTCGGCCGGGAGAGATGCTGAGCCTCACGAGCGATTCATTTCTGGCACCGACGGAGCATGCAGTACAGAACTGGGTCGCATGGCTGTTTCCAGAGGCTGGGGTGGCTCGGAGCAAGGTGGGGTCAGCAGACGATACCATCCCTTGCGACTCAGGACGGTGCCCGTGGATGTGTCACATCTTCAAAGCTCTGAAGGACCGCCAGTCATCCCGGCCCCTCCTGGATTTGAGCTACCCGCAGTTCCTGTGCCTCTTCCGGAGAGCAGCCACGAACATCGGAGTCGACGTCGTCCCATACCAAGGCCGTCACAGCGGAGCATCGCTGGATCGGGCCACGGGGCGACGCTCTCTGGAAGAGGTTCAGAAAAGAGGGCGATGGGCTGCGATGAATTCGGTGAAAAGATACGAAAAGTCAGGGCGACGGAACGAGAGCTGGGAGAAGCTAAGCGACGCCTCCAAGGCACATTGTGTTGCAGCGCCCAACCTGCTGCAAGAGGCATTGCTGCTGGGACGCCCCGCGCTGGTGCCGCCGTTCGGCGGCCGAGAGGGCTGTCGCGGGCCCCACTGAGCTAGCAGCTGGCCGCTGTTTCCGCACCGTATCTGCTGGATCTCTTCTCTGGTGGAGGCGGGGTTGGAGGCTTCGCCAAGCGACTTGGTTTCAACTCAGCGTCTTTGGACTTGCGAAATGGGGAAGACCAGGATGTGTGCAGCGCCAATAATCTAGATGCGATTCTCGCCCACTTTAAGGCTGGGCTCATCAGAGCAGTCATGTTGGCACCTCCCTGTTATTCTTTTTCCCTTGCTCGTAACAGGTATCCTGTCAGAAGTGCGCAATATCCAGAGGGTCTGCCATCCCTGCGTCCAACCGACCAGACCGCAGTCAGCATAGGTAACCTCTGTAAGCGCGTGGCCGTGTACATCGTTCGGTTGTGCCATGTCTTCGGAGTCCCGTTCGCGTTGGAGAACCCTCAGACCTTACATGTGGCGATGCCAAGATATCACTAAGTATGTTTTGAGCTGTAGCCGTACTCTGGATTTGCACCAGTGCGCGGATCCAGGTGGCGAAAGGCGACCAGGCTGGCCCTGGGATGTGTCACGGAGGCAGGAGACTTCGCCCTAGCCTACCCGGGGGGCCGTACGTTGCCGAGGCAAACACGGATACTGTTCCTTCAGGCCTGGCCATAAGCATGTCGTCTTAGAGGGAAAGGCTATGACTTTGAGAGCCGCTGCGTACCCTTCTCGCTTCGCTCGGTGGCTGTGCACTGTCTTGCCCGACCTGTGAACAAAGGTGATCTGTATGTGGCAGTACTATTTTTTCCACATGCTGAGGTTGACGCCTTCCCCGACGCCGTTGAATGGCTTATACCGCTACGCTGAGAACTTCGGCTTTGCGAATATGTTGGAGTGGGTTCGCCGTTTGCACGACTCGATAACCTGGTCGCGACCATATGGTATCAGAGTTCACCACTGAAAAGACGTCAGAGCATGGTTGTGCGTTGCACGTGATTGATTTGAGGTTCTTTATATGCTGCAGCCCTCCAGCAGCCCCCATATCGCTGCTGGGGCTCAAGCTTTCCCACCCTCAGCCACCCTGGACCTGCCCTATAGCGCACGCCCCCTTTAACCTCCTTCACTTCCTCCTCTCGTACAGAGTGGGTTCGCCGTTTGCACGACTCGATAACCTGGTCGCGACCATATGGTATCAGAGTTCACCACTGAAAAGACGTCAGAGCACATCTTTGGCTCTCCCAGCCGCTCTTGGAGTCATCTGAAGCAGCGCCCCCCCCCAGGAGGCCAAAATGTGGCCAGCACCTTAGTATAATCAACGATTTGAGCATTGTCGCCGAGGCCTCTTGGAGCGCCGTGGGTGCCTCTGGGGGGCCCCTGGGGGCCTCGTGGAGGTATCTTGGAGGTCTCTTGGGAGCCTCTTAGGGGCCTCCTGGGGGCCTCATGGGGGCCTCTTGGGGCTTCCTGCCGCTTCTTGGGCCCTCTTGGGGCACCCTTGGGAGCCTTGGAGGCCATCTTTGGGCCATCTTGGGTGAAATCGATCACAGGAGGGGGGGGGGGGGGTATTAATTACAGCCCCCCCCCCCCAGGAGGCCAACATGGGGCCAAAACCTATAAATCAATGATGTTGGCTTCCTCGCCGAGGCCGTTCTGGACGCCCGACGACTCGCGACCCCCCCGTCCAGGTCCAGGGGAGGGGGTAGGGGGAGGGGTCAAGTTACCCCCTCCCCGCCCGCAAGCCGTCTCGCTCACTCCCACCCGCCCTCCCAACGCATACGTAGCACCCGAGTCTGGCCCGAGCCTCAGCATATTCAGCAGTCGTCTTGGGATGGGGAGCTACTGGGGGCCAATCCGCCGCCGCTGCCTCCGCCCCCGCCGCCGCCGCCGCCGCCGCCGCCGCCTGCCGCCGCCGCCGCCGCCGCCGCTGCCGCCGCCGCCGGCGCGCCCGCCCCGCCGCCGCCCCCCCGCCGCGCAGCCGCGCCGCCGCCGCGCCGCCGCCGCCGCCGCCGCCGCCGCCGCAGCGCCGCCGCAGCCGCTGCCCCCGCCGCCGCCGCTGCCGCCGCCGCAGCCGCCGCGGCCGCCGCCGCCGCCGCCGCAGCCGCCGCAGCCGCCGCCGCCGCCGCCAAGTGCACTCTGCATTGTTACTTAACAGCTTTTGCTGATAGGTTTTTCAAAAGAGAGCAGCAAATGACTCCACAGGGGGGTCGGAGCGGGACCCGGACAGGCTGCCGCCGCGGCTGCCGCCGAAGCCGAAATCGCTTTGGACATCCTCGCAAAATCGCTCTTGGTGCTCCCAGAACTCCATTCCCGGGCCACATTTTGGATGCCCGGAGCCAACTGTAGGCCACTTCGTGCTCTTCGATTTCCCAGAACTCCATTCCCGGGCCACATTTTGGATGCCGGAGCCAACTGTAGGCCATTTCGTGCTCTTCGATTTCCCAGAACTCCATTCCCGGGCCACATTTTGGATGCCCGGAGCCAACTGTAGGCCACTTCGTGTTCTTCAAGTTCCCAGAACTCCATTCCTGGGCATGATTTTGAATGCCCGGAGCCAACTGTAGGCCACTTCGTGTTCTTCTAGTTCCCAGAATTCCACTCCTGGGCCGCATTTTGAATGCTGAGGCAGGCTGATGTTGCGGCCGAGGCAGGCTGAGGCTGAGGCAGGCTGAGGCTGAGGCCGAGGCTGAAGGCAGACTGAGGCTGAGGCTGAAGCAGACTGAGGCTGAGGCTGAGGCAGGCTGAGGCTGAGGTTGAAGCAGGCTGATGCTGAGGCAGGCTGAGGCTGAGGCTGAGGCTGATGCAGGCTGAGGCTGAGGCAGGCTGAGGCTGAGGCCGAGGCTGAAGGCAGACTGAGGCTGAGGCTGAAGCAGGCTGAGGCTGAGGCTGAGGCAGGCTGAGGCTGAGGCAGGCTGAGGCTGAGGCTGAGGCAGGCTGAGGCTGAGGCTGTGACTGCGACTGCCGTTGCCGCTGCGACTGTCATCGCGAATGCGACTACGACTGCGAGAACAGCAGAATTCTACAACTGGATTTTCATCTGAATCTTAAGGGGAATGCTTTCAGATATGCTTCTACACATCGCTGTTAGGTTGCTTTGCCGGGATAATTTTTTGACAGGGATGGTGGGGGGGGGGGCGCATCGGGTTGGCTGCGCATGTTCCGAATTTGGAGGCAGAGTGTGTTTTGTATTGTTTTTTACAAGGGATGGTGGGGGGGGGTCGGCATGGACCCTGGTTGGCCCCCAGTCGCCTGGGGGAGGGGGTGTTTATTAATAGGGAACAGTGATCAAGACCCCCTCCCCGCCCGCAAGCCGTCTCGCTCACTCCCACCCGCCCTCCCAACACATACGTAGCACCCGAGTCTGGCCCGAGCCTCAGCATATTCAGCAGTCGTCTTTGGATGGGCAGCTACTGGGGGCCAATCCGCCGCCGCCGCCGCCTCCGCCGCCGCCGCCGCCGTGCCCAAACCGCCGCCGCCGCCGCAGCCCCTGCCGCCACCGCGCCGCCGCCGCCGCCGCCGCAGCCGCCGCCGCCGCCGCCGCCGCCGCAGCCGCCGCCACCGCCGCCGCAGCCGCCGCAGCCGCCGCCGCCGCCGCCAAGTGCACTCTGTATTGTTTTTTTTGACAGGGATGGCGGGGGGAGGGGGGGGGGCGCATCGGGTTGGCTGCGCATGGTCCGAATTTGGAGGCAGAGTGCGTTTTGTATTGTTCCCCACATCCAAAGTGGGGTTCTTGTTTTCTCTGGACACCCCGCGCAGGAACAGGAACACACACACACACCCACTCACACTACTCACACTCTCTCATCATCAACCTCATCAGCATCATCGATGATGCTCTCTCACATGCTTAGTCACTCACATACTCATCATCATCATCACTCGCACTCTCTCACACGCTCACGACATCATCATCATCATCATCATCATCGGCATCGGCATCATCCTCATTCAAACATCATCATCGCCACCACCACTCACAATCAATCATCATCCTCTTCACCACTCATCTTCACCACCACTCATCATCCTCATCCTCATCATCGTTGAGTAAATTGTGAGGAAGTCTCAGGCGGGAGCCCCCTCCCTATGGGGCCCGCAGATCATGTTGGTAATCCGAGCGGGTCATCGGAAACCTGTAACTGTCGTCACTTTTGGGCTCGTCAAGCCTGAAAATGGAGGAAGTCTCAGGCGGGAGCCTCGTCTGTGAGTGAATTGGGAGGAAGTCTCAGGCGGGAGCTCCCTCCCTATGGGGCCCGCAGATCATGTTGGTAATCCGAGCGGGTCATCGGAAACCTGTAACTGTCGTCACTTTTGGGCTCCTCAAGCTTGAATTTGGAGGAAGTCTCAGGCGGGAGCCTCGTCTGTGAGTGAATTCTGAGGAAGGCTCAGGCGGGAGCCCCCTCCCTATGGGGCCCGCAGATCATGTTGGTAATCCGAGCGGGTCATCGGAAACCTGTAACTGTCGTCACTTTTGGGCTCGTCAAACCTGAATTTGGATGAAGTTTCAAGCGGGGGCCTCGTTTCTGAGTGAATTGTGAGGAAGTCTCAGGCGGGAGCCCCCTCCCTATGGGGCCCGCAGATCATGTTGGTAATCCGAGCGGGTCATCGGAACCCTGTAACTGTCGTCAATTTTGAGCTCCCCAGGCCTGAAAATGGAGGAAGTCTCAGGCGGGAGCCTCGTCTGTGAGTGAATTGGGAGGAAGTCTCAGGCGGGAGCTCCCTCCCTATGGGGCCCGCAGATTATGTTTAGTAATCCGAGCGGGTCATCGGAATCCTGTAACTGTCGTCACTTTTGGGCTATTCAAGCCTGAATTTGGAGGAAGTCTCAGGCGGGAGCCTCGTCTGTGAGTGAATTGGGAGGAAGTCTCAGGCGGGAGCTCCCTCCCTATGGGGCCCGCAGATCATGTTGGCAATCCGAGCGGGTCATCGGGATCCTGTAACTGTCGTCACTTTTGGGCTCCTCAAGCCTGAATTTGGAGGAAGTCTCAGGCGGGAGCCTCGTCTGTGAGTGAATTCTGAGGAAGGCTCAGGCGGGAGCCCCCTCCCTATGGGGCCCGCAGATCATGTTGGTAATCCGAGCGGGTCATCGGAACCTTGTAACTGTCGTCACTTTTGGGCTCGTCAAGCCTGAAAATGGAGGAAGTCTCAGGCGGGAGCCTCGTCTGTGAGTGAATTGTGAGGAAGTCTCAGGCGGGAGCCCCCTCCCTATGGGGCCCGCAGATTATGTTGGTAATCCGAGCGGGTCATCGGAACCCTGTAACTGTCGTCACTTTTGGGCTCCTCAAGCTTGAATATGGAGGAAGTCTCAGGCGGGAGCCTCGTCTGTGAGTGAACTGCGAGGAAGTCTCAGGCGGGAGATCGAGGCGCGGGCGCGGAGCTTGCTGATGTTCAGGCCCAGCGAAAGGGAGTTCACATGGCAGAGCTCGGGGGCGCACAGCGTGCGCCGCTCGGGGTTCACCCTGGCGCACGCGTCCTACCTGACCTCCACGCTGTCGCAGGGCCAGACGCTGCGCAAGGGCGTCACCATCGACTGCGCGAGAGACGAGGACGCTGGCCGCACGGGCATGTCGGACGAGCAGTGGTGGCTGCACCTCTACGTCATGTTCTCCCGCGCCACGTGCATGCGGAACATGCTGATCCTGCGGCCGCCGCCGCGAGAGTTCCTGGAGTGCGGGCCGCCGGCGTCCCTGCGGAAGGCGCTCCTGGAGTTCGACAAGAGAGCGGTTTTGTCCAGGGCGGAGGCGAAGCAGCTCGCGGCAGAGCTGGGCTTCGTGCTGCCTTCCGCCTGAGCGCGGCTGCGCCTCGCTCGAAGCCCGCGGGGTTGTCCCAACGGCTTGGTCTTGCGCGCCAACGGCTCGCGGGGTTGCCCCGACAGCCTGGCCCGCGGGGTTGTCCCAACGGCTGCGCGACGTGACCAGTAGAGAACGCGCCTGTGCTGGCCGTGGCGGCGACGGCGCCGAGGAACATCGACATGCGCGCTCATGCAACAGGAAGGGGAGGAGGTGGCGGGGCGCGGAACAAACAGGGGGGCGAGGATGGGGACAACGCAAGGAGTGGAAGGGGGGCCCGCGTCAAGGCGAGAGGAAATATACGCAGAAGAGACAGCCAGGACGCCTCGCCAACCACGAGGACGACGGTGATGGCTTTTCCCAGATTCGCCCAGAGGATTCTTATGCGGAGCTCTTCCGTCGGAGTATTTTTTTGGGAGGGATGGCGGGGCGGGGTCGTCGTGGACTCGGGTTGGCCCCCAGTCGCCTGGGGGAGGGGGTGTTTATTAATAGGGAACAGTGATAAACCCTTCCCCGAATGGGAAGAAGGAGCGGTGGAAGAGGAAACGCTCTAAACCACCGACGCCCAGAGGGCTGGTGGGATTCTCAGCTTAAGGATCGTAAGTGGTGAGGGTATTATCAGGCGAAGTGCTGGGCCGACCTACCGACGCGTTTCGGGGCGCGGCAGGGAGGAGCTATGCACCCAGAGGGTCGGCGGACCCATTTTGGGGCACCCCGGCCCATAAATGCCCCCCCCCCCCCCCCTTTGCCCGGACCCATTTCTTGCTAAGGCCATTTCAAGAATGGGCGCGTGCTCATTTGCTGATTTCGCGTTAACATGTAAAATATGAGCCCCGGCCCATTACAGTGGGCCCCCTTTTTCAAGCCGGGCCCAGATATGGGTCCGCCCTATCGCTCCAGAAGCGCGCAACCGACCCCCCAAAATGGGTCCGCCTCAGCGCCCTCAATGCGCGCAGCCGACCCCCCAAAAATGGGTCCGCCTCAGCGCCCCCGAAGCGCGCAACCGACCCCCAATAATGGGTCCGCCTCAGAGCCCCCGAAACTCGCAACCGACCCCAAACGTGGGTCCGTTTCAGCGCTCCCGAAGCGCGCAACCAACCTTCAAAAATGGGGTCTGCCTGATCGCTCCCGAAACGCGCGACCGATTCCAAAATGCCCCGAATAGAAGTCCGCCGAGCGCCCCCAAGCAACACTCAATAACAAACATGTTTAGCACGTTAAGTTTGGAAACAGCCCGCCCTCCACATGGCCCCCCTCCTCCGCGGCAGCCTTGGCCCATGCCCGCTCCGCTGCGCCCCCCCCCCCCCCCCCGCGCCGCGCGCGCTGCAGGAAGTCGCCCGCCCGCGCCCGCATGGCGTGGATCCCGTGCCCACTCGTCGTCGAATCCAGCGGCGAGCCCGCCCGGTGGCTGACGTGGCAGCGACTTGGCGCCAACGCAGCACCAGCCCCCGCTTCGTCGACCCTGCGCGCGGGATCGCGCGCCGATCCCGCGGGCCCAGGGTCGACGGAACGGGGGCTGGCGCCGAGCTGGCGCCCTCCGAGGGGCCAGCAGGAGAATTGGTAGACTGCGCCCTGTGCAAAAAGTACATCCACGGCGGGCGCGGGCTGCCCCCCCCCCCCCCCCTCCTCTTTCTCGCAGCGCTCGCAGCACTCGCCGCCCTCCCCCGCAGGCCAACAGGCGGCGCCCACTTGGTCAGAGAGTCCCACGTCTGGAGCCAGACGAAGTGGGAAACCCGGGTGAAAACTGACTCCCTTCCCATCCACCCCCCCCGACCCCCCCTCCCCGCCCTTCCCCCCGCCCCCCTTCGCCCCCGCCGGGCGCAGAAGGACGGCGAGAAGGCGGCGGCGGCCCCTCGCTTCGAGGGCGAGGGCGCGGGCGGCGCGGCGACGGGCGCGGCCGGCCCTGCCGGAGTCGAGGAGCTCAAGGCCCGCGTCGAGCATTTAGAATGCGTTATTGCGGAGCTCCGCCTCCGCAGTGGAGGCTCGGAATTGGCCGGGGGTTGGTGGCGATGGGCCCGCGCGGCCCAGCGCGCGCTTCCTCGCTGCGGACCTTCGCGCGCCGAAAGCCATTTTCAGCCCGCGAAAGAGACCGTTGCAGGTCGGCGTTGGCGGGCCGAGAAACAAAGGGATAGTGGCGCCGCCCTTGCAGTGGAGATCCATGCCAACCCTGCTCGCCCCCAGGGCGCCCTGTGTTTCCGCGGTTTCAATGGCTTTCTATGGGAAGCGCGGCGCCCCCGCGCCAAAAATCAATCATGCGGGGTTTTCTCACGACATGGCCCCCACTGCATAGCGCGCCCGCCCTGGAGACGGCCCGCCCTCTCGTTGCCAGTCCGTTTCGTGCGTCACGGCCCGAACATGCCCCGCGGCGCCCTCCCCGCGCTGGCCACCCCCTGCACCGAGTTGCGCGCGCTCGGCCACGGTGGCCAAAGACGCCGTGGAGCAGCGGATCATGGCGCACGACATGGCCGAGCCCATTCGCGGGGCGGGCGCCTTCGCTGGCGCCCTCGCCGAGATGGCCTCGGACGGCCGTCGGCCCGCCTTCGCCTCGCGCCTCGAGGCGCTCAGGGCCGCCACTTTCGACGAGGAGTGGACGGGGGCGGAGAAAGGAGATTGTTTTTTATCCTCTGGGGGGTAACGCTCGTTACCCGGGCCTCTCCCCCCCCCCCCCCCCCCCGTAACGGTAACGCTCGTGCGCGGGGGGGGTCTCGGTCTTCCCCTCCAACATGCTGGTGCCCGAAGGCATGCGCACTGTGGTGTGGTGGTCGCAGGCGCACTGTGGGCGCTCGCAGGCCATTGCGGCGCTCGCATGCGCGATGCTGGTGCTTGCGGGCTTTGCGCTTGTGCTCGAATCGTCGTTGTCGTCGTCGTCGTCGTCGTCGTCGTCGTCGTCGTCGTCGTCGTCGTCGTCGTCGTCGTCGTCGACGGCGCCCGAAAACGGCCTCCGGAGGCCGAAACAGGCGGCAAACGTCGTCGTCGTCGTCGTCGACCTCGTCGCTCGTCGCTCGTCGATCATCGTCGTCGCGCGCGCGGGCGCGGGCGTGGTGCCGGGACCACGCGGCGGGCTTTGCGCTTGTACTCGAATCGCAAGCCACTGTGGTGCTCTCAGGCAGAGAGTGCTGCTCGCGCGCATACTATGGCGATCGCAGAGCGCCCCTGCTTCGCCATGCCCCGCCCAGCCCAAGCGTTACCGTTACCCGGGGGGCACGACCCCCCCCCCCCCCGGGTAACGAGCGTTACCGGCCGGAATAAAAAAATGATTTCAAGCTGGACAGCCACGGTGCGGCGAGGGGCAACGATGGGGGGGGGCTCGTCCTCTTCCTCCTCCTTTCCCTCTTCGATCCTAGTCCTATGCCCCTAACTGTTGCTCTTGCCCCTACTCCAACCCCCCCCTGCTCACGCCCCCCCCCCCCCCCCCCTCCCCCCACCTCCTCCGGGCGGGGGGGGGGGGGGAGCGGGGGGGTGGGGGGGGGGGAAGGAGGAGGGCGAGGAGGGGGGGGGTCCTCGAGGACATCTCGGACAATTGGGAGGGGGTCAACTATTGGAGCCAAGCGCAAAATAGGGCACCAGGTCCAAGATTGGACGTCTTGTTTGGAAAATCGGGAGGCGTGGAAAGCGCCGACGACATGTCCGAACGCGGGTCCAATTTTGGCCCTGGAGGTCAATTTTTGGAGTGAGGGTTCAACATTGGAGACCCAGAGGAGTCTCGGAACCTGGGTCCAATATTGGACCCGAGTCCAATATTGGACCCCAGGTCCAATATTGGACGTCTGGATTGGACAGTATCCAATATTCCAATCTACCAATTTTCCAATGCTGTCCAATCCGAGCAGGCCCCTTCCCGAAATGAGAACTTCTCCTCCTCCTGCTTCCTCCTCCGCTTCCTCCTCCTCCTCCTTCTCTTCCTCCGCCCCCCCCCCCCTTTCCCTCCTCCTCCCCCCCCCCCCCCCTTCGCCCTTCATCCCCTCCTCCTCCTCCTCCTCCTCCTCTCTCCTCTCTTCCTCCCCCCCCTCCTCCTCCTCCTCCCCCTCTTCCTATTTCTCCTCCCCCATGTACACCCCCCCCCCCCCCCCCCTCCTCCGCCCCTTTAGCAGCGCGCCCCGCGCGTTCGCTTGCCCGACGGCGCCGCCGTTGCCCTTGAGATCGCGCGCCTACTGCGCGCCCTGCTGGCGGCCCTCGCCGCGTCGAGGAGCCTCGCGCCAGGGGCCCAGCGCGCCGCGCTCAAGACGCCCAGGTCGCGAACGCGTCGCAAAAGATGAGCGTGGATCTTGCCAGAAAGGTGATCCAGCGAAACAGCGGGCGGGCGGTGCCCTCTGGGGGGGCGCCGCAGTCGGGGGTGAGAGCGCAATTTTGAGAGGGAATCGCCCCCGGCGCACACGCGCCCCCCCCCCTCCCAGAAGCTCATCTTACAGAGCGCTTTGGACAAGAGTGGCTGGGGCCAAGAACCAGAACCGCCAGTTTGCGGCGGCGAGGAGCGGGGCCGAACGCCGCGCCACCTCCCCCAACCCGCCCCGAAAGGGGGGGGGGGGGGGGCGAAGGGGCCGTCCGCGGTGGGGGCCGACGTCGGCGATCCCGACCTGCGAGAGCCCTACCGCGATCGGGTGGATCAGCGGCCCGCTCGACACCGGCGTCGAGGAACGCTCGCGCCGCCCCGGCTTTCCCGGGGCTCCTCGAGCGCAGTCGGGCCGAGGTGTAAGATCGAGGTCGATTCGGGGAGGGTGCCCCAGCGTTCTTCGCGCTTGTTGGGCGTTCTCAAGGTTTTGGCCGACGGTTCTTGAGGGGTGTTCTTCTGGCCTGGGTCCGACTGCAAGGCGCCCCCTTCCTCGGGCCCCCCCTGCCCCCACGCGGCGAGACCCCGCGGGCGGTTCGCCCCCGCCCTCCCCGCGTCCCGGGGCGCTCCCACGAGGGTTATAGCATCGATCTCATCCCCTCGCACTTGGCCCCCCCCATCGTCGAGGCCCCTCTTGGCTCGAGGCCCCGTGGCAGCTGCGTCTACAGAGTTCTGGGCTTGGAAATCTGCCATGGACAGCCATGTGACGGGGCAACGCGGGCGCCCCCATGCGCGATGTCCGCCGCCCCACCAGATCCGAGGGCCCCTGATTCAGACTGGTGGATCTCTCCGCCGGGCGACGCTGGGCTTCTTTCTTCGCGCGCCCGTCCTAGCGGCAGCAGGGTTGACCCCCCTCTTGGCGCGCGGCGCCCTCCTGGACGTCGCCCCGCTAAGGCCTGGCCAAGATCGGGTCGCCTCCTCATCGGTCGAGGCATCGATCGATGGAGTAACTGCATTGGGCCCACGCTGCATTTTCCCTTTTCGCCGACACCTGCACCGACCCTGGTCGACCCTGACCCCAGGATCGCCGAGGCGCGCGCCGATCGCGGGCCCAAGAAGCAGCCTGCGCACAGGCATCGCCACCTCGTCGGTCGAGGGGTCGATGCTCTGCCAGCCTGACTGGGCACGCGCTGCCTATCGTGGGCGCCAGCGCCGACCCTGGCCAGGCCGATCCTGGCCCTGACCCCCGAGGCCAGGCCAGGGGGCCGCAAGCGCCGACCCCTGGCCCTGGAACGGCCCGGCCAAGATCGGGTCGCCTCCCCATCGATCGAGGGGTCGACGCATGGAGTCGTCAGCCTTCGATAGGGCCCACGCCGCGCATTTCACCCGTATCATCGTCGACGCTTGCGCCGACCCTGCAGGGCTTATCCTGACCCCTGGATCGGATGACCTGCAGGCTAAGCCAAAGGTGTGCGCCGATCGTGGGACCAAGAACGGCCTGACCAGCATCGTTGCAGGCGTCGCCTCCTCGATCGAGGGATCGATGCAAGTTTTCGCCCTGGCGGCCGAGCATGAAACGCATGCTCTACGATAGGGCGTGGAGGGCCCCATGTCACTCAGCCCCCTGCCTCCGCCCCTCGGGTTTGGCGCCCCTCTCCCTCGACGCACCCCTGTAGCGCGGGGAAGAAGGGACAGGGCAGGGGCGAGGCGGGGGCCCGAGTAATCGCGCGTCTGACGCCTCCCCCCCATGTACCTCCCCCCTCTCCTGGGCCTCTGCGAGGGGGCGCCCCGCCCCTTTCGCGGCCGCCAGTGGCGCCGTTTCTCGCGACCCCAGGGGGGTTCCCAGTGCGCGCGTGCGCTGGGCTGGGCCCAGACGACGCCGTCACGACCAGAAACCGCCGCCCCCGCTCGCCCCCGAATTCCGCCTCCAGCCCCCCCCCCCCCCCACCCCCCCGCCCGTCCTCACCCTGCGCACATGTTTTTTGTTCTCCGTGGCTTCCTCGACCAGGGAAACGTTTTTGGCATCGCGGGCAAGTCGGCCGAGTACATGTAGATCGCGAGGGCTGGAACAAGAAACACGCATTGCTTTCGATCCCCTTTTCATCGCCCTTCCCTCGCCCAAACAGGCACATGTTTTGAGCGCCCGCCTTGCTGCGGGCGCAGATCGCAAGTTTCTAGCGATCAGTGGAACATGATGCTGCATGTGCGTGCGTCGATGACAGAAAATGAAAGGCAGCGCACCTGCTTAAGATGGGTTCGGCCGAACGCATGTTCTATCGCAGCCAGCGCCCCCCCCCCCCCCCCCCCCCTCCCCCGAACAAGTTAACACAAAAATGGCAGCGCGGGCCCGCGCCCATTATTGAACATTGAATGCTTGACCCAGGTCCATGCATGGGTCCGCCCTGGACTGCGCCCAGGCCCATGCATGGGCCCCCTTCCGAACATGATAGAGCAAATGGGCCCCAGTCTCATTAGTTAAATGGATCCGACTTTCGGGCGGACCCATCAAATGGGTCCGCCGACCTTCTGGGCATGAGGAAAAGGATGGACGAGGAGAAGAGGGGGAGCGGGCTGAGGAGGACGGGGAGGGGGGCAGCGGCCATCGGAAGCGGAGGGAGGGGATGGAGGAGGAGGAATGGGCGGAGTGGGCGGTGAGGCGGGTCAGCAGCGGCAGGCGCACGCAGCCCGAGGGGGCGATTACTAGACCAGGGGGGGGGGGGGGGGGGCAGCAGCAGCATCGGGAGCGGGCACGAGGGGCCCCAGGTCGGCCTCGAACCTTTTGGGCCTCCTCTGTGCTAATGGTTCCCTCGGGTCTGCATAGTGCCCACTCTCCCTGGGGCGCCTGCCCTGTCGCAGGCGGTTCCTACGGGCCTTGGCATTCTTATCTGCAGGTGTGAACTTGCAGATATCGGCCAGATCCCTCAACGTGAGCGACGAGAAACTTCCGCAGTTTTAACAGAACACAAACGGCCCTGTCTTCCAGAGCGAGTGGCCTCGGAACAGGTTCCTATTACCTGTGGAGGAGGAGGGGGAGGTCGGAGGAGGAGGAGGGGGAACTTGGCCTCCTGGCCCCCTACAGACCGCGCGGCCCAGGCACTCTTGGATTATGAATGTTGCGCGCCCCTTCCTTCCTCGCGGTGGTTTTGCGTCCGCATCGGAGGCGGGAGGCGGCAGGCCCTGAGAAACTAGCGGGGCCTTCTTCTGGGGACTAACACTCCTCCTCCTCCCCCATCTCCTCCTGGCAGGGGGGGGGGGGGGGCTCGGGGTGGTGTCGGCAAAAGACCCCGTCCTCCGAATTGTAAGATCGGCCAAACAATTCAAAACTGCTTGAACGTCCGTATATCGTTGCTTATACGTCGTGCTAGTGCCAACAGGTCGAGGGGCGAGGTCAGCCCCTTCTCGGGCCGCTTCGTCCGCCTCTTTATGCCCTCGGGCGAGGAAGCCCACTCTGGGGTCATCCGAATTCAAGTGCTGCGCAGAATGAGCTTTGATTTTGACCGTGGTAAGCCCTGCTAGGCCAGGAAAACTAACATCTAGGACGTTCCAAATCTGAGTCCAAACATCTGCATGCGAGCGAACTCCTCTGGTGCATCAGGCTCGGCCTCTCCTGGGGCCTCGAAGCAAACTATCATTATCAACCCCCGCGGTGAGTGGGGGAGTGGCGAACTGCAAAGGGTGTGCGAAGCCTAACAGCTCACACCGCAGGACAGAGAGGGTTGCTCGCACGCCAGCAGGGCATCCACATTGCGAGAATTCGACGGCAAACGGCGATCCTCTCACGAACGAGGAACCCCAACCGAAACTCTTGCATCCTGGATGCCCTACTCCCGATCCGCCGGAGAAGGCGAAGCCACTGCGCAGGCCTGGCTCTCCCGTTCGGGTTTGCATTCGCCCAAACTGAAAATCGGACGTGGGATCCGCCACAGGATGGTCTACAATGCCTCGGGCAAAAAGTTGCGCTCCCTCCGTGGCCCTGGTGGCCCTGTGAATGATTGCAGCGTTATCTTCGGCAATATCTCTGCGCTGCTGGTCGAGCGCACTGCACCTGCAGAACCTGTGCTGATGGGTGCCGATCTCGCTGCCGCATGCTTGGCAATATCGTAGGTCTGTCTCTCCTCTTCGCCATCGTGCATTTTGCGTGCAGAAGGCGGCGCACAGGTAGCTCTCGATTGCGCCTCTTCTCCTCGGGCAGTAGCGCTGAGCCTCCTGGCGGGGGAGGGAACGCACTGGTTCCAGACAGGGTCGTGAAACTCCAGGTAGCTCACGATTCTCGGCCCATTCCTCCATGGCGACCTGCTCGAGCCTGGCTAGTGCGAGCGCCTTGATCGTGGAGGGTGGTACGATCCTCATGTTCAGCAACCCCTGGTGGTGCGTCATGATGATGTGTGGGGCTGGCCAGGTCCACCCAAGCCTGTCCAGGGATCCGTAGAGCGCGGTAGCAGGCCCCCTGACTTGCGTCCAGTCGAACTTGCGGTGGGGGACCTGCCTAGCTGCTGCTAGGCGAACTGCCTTTCGCCATCCTGCTTCGAGCTTGGCGTAGTCGGCCCCTGAGTCCCAGATGACCATGGCCCACTTGCCCATCGGGGCGAGGGTGGCCTGCACTATCGGGCCGGCCGAGTGAAGCCAGAGCCGCTAGGCCCTGTCCTTGCCCATGGGCTCGCCGCCGAGGCCGCTGGACATGAGGGCGCGGGCCGTGCTGGGGATCGTGGCGGGGGCCCCGAAGCTGGCCGAGGCGTAGAACATGCTGGGGTGCAGGCCGTTCTTGACCACTGCCCTGGTGGTGGCCCCGCTGGCCTTTGGGCCGAGCAGCTTCCTCTTCCTGCCCCAGGCCTTGCGGATTCTCGAGCCAGCCTTCCGCCGTGATATCTCCCCCCCCGCAGTGTCCACGCCGAGCTGCTGCCCTGTGGCCTCGACTTGGTAGCCGAAGTATTTGGCCATGGCCCTGCAGGTGTGGCGCAACTCCTTGTCGGCTGTGATGAAGTAGCTCTTGCCTGGCTTGGTCCCGCGGTTGCACGAGATGGGTATGCCGAGGTCCCCCTCGATCTGGTTGATGTAGCACTGGGTGCCAGCGTAGATGTCCTCGCGTACTTCTTGGCGTCCTCCATCTCGCTGCATCTGGTGGTCGTCCACGTATAAAACCTGTCGTACACGTGGCCATTGTCGGCGGATCTTGTCGCATACTGGAATGATGACCATCTTCAGCGCTCTGGCGCCACCACAGGAGCCCGCAATCACGGCTGAGTAGGTGACAGTGTAGAATTTGGACACAATCCTCTGGTACATGATCCATCTGGGCCCCGTGCACATTGATATGAAAAGGTGTATCATCTGTCGCGGGAAGTCGAGATCGGGGCTGGTTTCCCGCAAGAGGTAGGCGCTGATGTGCTCGAAGGCCTTCCCCAGGTCGGACACGGCGCTGAGGGACAACATTGTCGGGCCGGCTTTTCTCAGCTCGGGCCTGGGTCCACATGGCGTTCTCTGCTCCTCCTCCCCTGGATGCCCAATCGTAGTCCCGCGAAATCTCTGCTTCCCATTGAATGTAGATGTCCGCATGCAGTCTCTCGGTGGTCCGCATGGTGGTGGTCATGAGCCAAATAGGCCTAGTATCGGTAGCGTTCTTATCCAGAAGGAAGTAGAGGATGTGCTGCACGCTGGTTGGCCAATGGATGCGTTGGCTGATGTACATGACCAGGTCGCACATGAACTGCGTGCCCTTGTCGGACAGCTCCCCCAGCCATCTGGGATGTATTTGATCCGCCCCTACTCCCGCAGTCGCCCTGAAGGTTCTGCAGACTTTCTTGAAGGCCTCGGGGGTAACGTGGATCAGCGGGCGATCGTAGGTACAGTTGTCCCATGGGCGGGGCGGTTCGCCCCGGCTGATCCCATGATGGGACATCCACAGTCGATGCCATATTGCTGCATGCTGCTCCGTTCGCGTCTGCAGGTCCGCCAGGTCGAGGTTACATATGCCCGCGTTGACCTGCGCCGTGGTAGCGTATGGCGTGGGCGGCGCCTTCGCCCACTTGCTGATGCGATGAATGAACCCTGCCGAACCCTTGGAGGCCTGCTTGAGTCGCTCCCTCCATTCTTTGCCTCGCTGCGAGGCGATGCGCTGCTCGATCTTGTGTGCCTCGGCACTGGCGTACTGATGTACTGTTCGTATCTCCGTCAGCAGGTCCATGTTCTGAGCGATGCTGTTCTCCCACGCCAGGTCTACGACTTGCTGGTACAGGTCTGCGTTGGGTATGTGTTTCCATTGTCTGCGGCCATGCATGCTCTGCCTGGCCAGGCTTCTCCAGTGGGGCATGAGGATGTCGCAGCTGCTTCCCCGCTTGTTGGCGCTGCGGTGGAGGAGCATTATGTCGCCAAGCAGCTTGGCATACCACCTCCATGCTCTCGAAGTAGGGTTCCCTCTGGGTCGGGCATGGGCTTCGGGTCCAGCTGCTGCGACTGTTATGAACTTGGGGGCCTTGCCGCGGCCCTTGTACATGTATCTTTGGTCATGAGGAATCTGGTGCAGGTGGCAAAGCTCGGCTTCCATGCTGGCGTTGGCCTCCTGCCATAGTCGGTCCAGGTCGTTGAGGTGCAGGCGCCTGCTGTAGCCCAGCTGTGGCCACTGGACCTCGATGGGGTCTGGCCTATCCTGCGCGAGCGGTGCCTCTGCTGGGAAGGGCTTTGCAGTATACGTACCTGCGCCTTGCGGAAAGATCCTCGAAGGGTCAGGACCAGCGGCGTGTGCGGCGGGACGCTGACCTCAGTGTAGAGCTGCGGGGGGTCGAAGGCTGGGGCGATGCTCTGGTCCACTGCGTAGTAGTCCAGCTCGCGATGCCCTGTGGCATGCTGGCAGGTGGGTAGCCCCGTCGCCAGTAGGACTCCGCGCATGTCGTCGATCCAGTTGCTGTTGGCCCGCTCGCTGGGTAGCATGTTGAAGTCGCCCTGGGGGGCCCAGGGGATGCTGAAGCGGTGGGTGATGTCAGCAATGCGATCCATCCGGCTGAGGCTCCTGATGGTTAGGCCATCCGAGACCCACATGTACACGCTGATGAGCATCATGCCTCCCTTGCCTCCGATGGGTGCCCAGGCCACGCACAGACGTCCTGGTGACCCAGGTGGCGAGTGGTCGAAATCCTTATATCCCGCCAGCGGTGCCAGGCCAATAGCTGAGGGCACTGCAATATACTCCTGCGCTGGGCCCTCCGTGTGGCCCAGGGGCAGACCTGGTCATGGCCAGGGTGATCCCTCGCTTCTTGGTGGAGGCGAGGATCTCGGGTATCCACTGATTGCTCAACTGCTGCTCTTGTACAAGGAGAGCCCAAACCTGGCCTCCACACGCGGAGTCGAGTAGCGTGCTGGCGGCGCCCCATGTAGAACAGTTGGCCCCGTAGATCCTGACTTCTGCATTGGACGCTCCTCCTTTGCCCCGCTTGGACTGGTTCCGCCGCGGGCTTGCTGAGCTGCTCACAGCGGGGTCATCCACCTCCATGGGGTGCTGGCAGTCGTGGCTGCCGTGGTGGGTGTCGTAGCTGGGGTTTATACCGTCCACGTCGTGTTCGTCGGAAGCAGCGACCCCTGGGCCTTGGGTCCGCTCCTTCTCTGCTGGTGGAGGGCCCCTCCTTCGCCTTGCAGAGCCTGGGTGGATGTCGTTGCCCACGCAGGTGTCCATCCTGTCGTTGAGCTCGATGTCTGCTTCCAGAAAAGCACGTGAAAAGAATCCTGCATCGCCTCGGACTGAGCCACTAGTAATGCCGCGAGACGACACTGTCGGATCGTCCTGGTGTGGGGTGGGGACGGTCGGCACGCCCGCCTCAATCCTCCGCAGAGTGGGCACGACAGCATGTGTTCCACCCCGCCGCCCCCCCCCCCCCCCTGGGAGACGCAGGGAGTAATCGTCCTCCCCCTCCCCCCCCCACCGTGGCCAGCGGTGGTTTGATTCCTGAGTGGCTCGAGGTGGGGGTGCCTCCGTAGTCTGCGATCCCGCTCATGTCGGACTCGCCGTCCAGGTACATGTCGACGCCGTGGATGTCTGGGATGTATGCTGCCCCCGAGTCTCCTCCAAGTGGCAGAGGAGAGGCGCTGGTCGCTCGGGCTGCCTGCTGTGACACAGGTCGCTCAACCCTCAGCGGGCCCTCGGCAAGGTCCTGCACCTCGCAGGGCACCAAGCCTTCCACACCAGGCTGCTCCTGGGCCCGCTGGTTGGGTGCACGCTTCCCCCTAGCCCGCTGGGGCTGGGACCCACGACCAGGTGCGGGCTGCAGCATTGCGTTGGGGGCGTCTGATCTACGCCCTCTGAGGTGGGGGTGCCCACCTGTCGTGGGAGCACCCATGGGAGGCTCCCTGACCGTGCTGGGGGGCAGTGCTCGAACCGCGGACGGCTTCGGCCACCCGCCCGTCGGCAGCGTCGGCGGTGAGCTGGGTGCTGCGGGAGGCTTCGACCACCCGCGCGTCCGCGGCAGCCCGCGCGCACCCTATGCCGCCTCCCCTGCTGTGGTCTGGGACGGCTCCAGCCCCACCTCCTTGTCGCACGCGGAGCGAGGGCTGCGAGAGATCCTGATCCTCTTGCGCAGCAGCCTCAGCTCCGAAGGCGGGGCCCTGGTCCATGACCTGGCTGAGCAGCTCCTCTAAGCTCAGTGTCTGCCTCCCGCTCGTCGGTGGCGTCCTCTGCGAGCTGGGCGCCACTCAGGTCGATGCTCCCAACGTCGTCATCGAGAAGCCGCGACCGCTCGGGGGCCGAGGGCCCGCGTCCCCTCTGCGGGCGGCTCCCCCAGCCCTCGCCTCGCAGAGCCTCGCTGTATGTTGTAGTTGTCAACGCAGGTGCCCCTGTCGTCGTTGACCTCCGCGTCTGCCTCTGGGTCGGAGTCGCCCCCCGCCCAGGTCCCTGCCTTGATGATGACCGCGTCCCCAAGAGCGCTTATTATCTTCGGGGATGTGCCATCAACGAATATGGCACTCCATGCTGGTCCTGCTCCGCTAGGTCCGGCGCGATGTGCGGGAAGGTGGTCGGGCGCCCCGCCTGCCCTTGGCTCAGGCGGGTTGGGCCCCTGCCGCTGGCTGGGCGCCTGCGGTAGGGGCCTGGTCGCTCTTCTCCTTGACTTTGTCCTTCTTGCGCCTGGCCAGGGTCTCGTTGGTGCGTCGCTGAAGTTCAGCGCGGCTTGCGTCTGTAGAAGGGCAGGTGCCCCTGGGCGGTTCGGCTGCGGGCGGCACCGATGCGGCGCCTCCAGCCGTGCTCGCCTGAGACTGGCTGGCTGGGTCCGCTGGTGCTGCTGCTGCTGCCGCAGGAGGCTGGGGGCCCTTGTCGTTGTCTCCTTTGCGTTTCTTGACCAGCCGATGTGGGTGCTCCTGGTGCTGTTGCTTGACGGGCAGCGCGTGCTCGGCGGCCTTGGCGAAGACTTCCTTTGTCCAGGTTGTGATGTGTTCCTCCAGTGCTCGCTGTCGTTTGCTGATCTCCTCTCGGCCCTCGTTGGTGATGTCTCCTTCCTCGAGGTCGAAGACTGAGCCCATGTCGATCTTGGTGCTGCTGCAGGTGCCATCGAGCAGCGCGCCCAGGGCGAGCACGGGCTGCTCAGGGGCCTTGGCCTCGTGAAGCTCATGCAAGTGAGCGAGGACCTTGGAGTGCTGCACGTTGAAGTCCTCGAGCTCGGCGTTGAGCTGGGCGACCCAGTCCCTCTGGCCGTCGAGCTCGCGCTCCCATTTGTCGAGCTTGTCGAGGGCCGACTCGAGCTTCTTGGCGTGCTTGTCGCGGGCGTTGGAGATGTTGGACAACTGCAGCTCCAGGGACTTCTGGGGTCCTCCTGCCACCAGGCGGTTGATCGTGTCGATCCTCGCCTTGCAGCGCTCTTGGAGCTTTGTGTTGCCCATCTTGGTGGCGACTGTGTACAGCTTATTGACATCGGGGAGGTCCAGCTTGTCCACGTTGAAGCCGTCGTTCTCGGAGTGTGGGCCGCCAGGGCCCGCTGAACCATTGCCCCCAGTAGCCATGCCAGCGCGGTCCGCCCAGCGCCCTTGCGCCGCTGGCGGGGCTGCGTCGCCTGGCTCGTGCCTGGGTGCTTGACAGTGCTTGCACCACGTCCAGGCCCCGAGGTTCTTGCCGCACCCGCACTCCGTGCACTTCCAGCTGGGGCCTGCGCGCCAGGGCGCCGCGTCGCGCCACCAGCTCCTGGGCGCCATGGCTGCTGCTGGAGTGTCTGTTCCCGATCCTGGGGCTGACCAGGCGGGTTCGTCGTCTTGCTCCGAGGAGCCTCACAGGATGCTGCGTCGCCTGGGCGGCTCACGCAGCGGTGCGATGAAAGAAACTGGGGTCTCGCCGCGGACTAGCGGTATCCACTCCTTTCCGCTGGGAGACCAAAGACTTGAGCCAAAATGGCTACGGATGGAGGAGGAGGAGGAGGAGGAGGAGGAGGAGGAGGAGGAGACGAGCAAGAGAAGGGATCGTGACAAAGAGGAGGAGGAGGAGGAGGAGGAAACATGGGGGGTGAAGCTTCTCCCGATGGGGGCCGAACGCAGGCCCCAGTGGAAGTCGTACTCGGGAGAGGCGGTGTCCAGACCCCCGCCGCTATGAGTTGTTCACGACGTGTGCCCCCAGATGCCTCGATCCATTCCCCGGGACCCATTCTGAGTCGTTGTTTGACGGTCCCAGAACCCAGCGAAGGCCCCCAAAGGACGAATCGGGGCTCAAGAGACGGGGGTCAATACAAACGGGGGCCAGCCAGAGCGCCAGATCTTGCAGGATCTTGCAGGGCCAAGGTCGCATTGACCCGGGCTTGGGTGCAGGATCCTGCAAGACCTTGCAGAATCCTTCGCATTGGCCCGGGCTTGGGCGCAGGATCTTGCAGGATTCTGCAAGGCCTGACCGACCAGGGTCTGGATTGACCTGGGGCAGAACATCCCGGAACGAAAGTCGCCACAAAAGCGCCGTCGCGTTTTCTCACTATTCGAGGGGGTCTGGGCATGTCAGTGCCCGTGGGCCGCCGCGGCCGGCAGCGCTGCGGCGCACCAGCCCCTGCAGAGCCGGCGGCTGCGGGGTACCTTCGGCGCCGTGGTGGAGCGCCTGCGGCCGGAGCACCTGGCGGACCCCGCTGTCTCAGGCCCGTCGCGGGGGTTCCCCGAGATCTGGGTGTTGTTCTGCTGTGTCGCACCGCCAGGAGGGCAATCCTGAAGGCTTCGCGCGGCGCGCAAGATCTGCATCATCTGGTCCACACGTCCGCTCCGTAAGATTTTGGGTCGACGTTCGCGCGGCGATGCTCCAGCGCATGTCCGACGTGAATCCGACAGCAGCCCGACGTAGCCCGACGCGACCCCGACGTAGATCCGACGTGGGTCCGACGTACATCGGGTCGCAGGTTGCCGCGCGAGGCCTCCATGATTTGCCGCATGAGTACCAGCGCAGAGGAGGAACAGGTACCGAGACAGCTAATAACCCTTGCCTTGAGTTCGCTTCTCCAGGGCCTCCTGGGATGCCTCCGTTGCCCCCGCTGGATTCGCCTCGAAATTCTGGTCAGAACGCACCCTGGAGCGGTCCAGAGAGTAGCGGCATCGTCGTTTTATGTGTGGAGTCCCAGGGCTCATTTCGATTGCCCAGATTCGATTCGATTCGATGTCGATGGATTCCGATTCCGATTCGATTCGACTTGGGATTCCGATTTGGGCTCCGATTTCTCACTGGATGCGTACAAGCCTGCCGATTTTAGCCGATTCGATTCCTTCCGACTTGGCTGCCGATTTCCGCCGATCCGACTAATTTCGATCGCCGATTCGACTTATCAATTCGATTCTGGGCTCTCCGGCCTCTTAGCTCTCTACGAGCTGTCCGGGAATCAACGTTCGGAGCTCCGCGCGGATTTTCGGCGGCGCTTCCCGCGCCGCGCCCCTGGCACGCCCCGCGCGCCGGGGGGCGAGGGGGGTCAAGGCGCGGACCTCCAGAGGTGTCCTGTGCTCTAGGCCTCGTAGATGGGGTCGGAGTAGATGGGGTCGGAGGAGGAGGAGGAGGAGGAGGAAGAGGAGGAAGAAGAGGAGGAGGAGGAGGAGGAGGAGGCATCGAGCCGCATCACCGATGCATCGCCGATGCGGCTCGATGCGGAGCCCGATTTTCTCCACGCCGACGTCGCCGATGCACTGCCGACGCATCGCCGATGTATCGGCGATGCGGCGCGATCTTCCGACCCCATCTACTCCGACCCCATCTACTCCGACACCCCTCTAGTTTTGTTTGGTCACATCAGCGCCCAGGGATCGACCTAAGCAGTATTTCCCAACCATCCTGTGGTGTTGGGTCCTCGTTTTTCAAGAGACGGTGCCCCGCGTTCCTCTCCTCTCCTCCTCCTCCCCCTCCTCCCTCGTGCCCTCGCCCGCATGCGTCACCCACACCCATTTCGGCACACCCCTCACACGCTTCGTGGCTCCATAGGGGGCTCCACCGAAGGCCCCAGTGCCCGCGCCCGCATGCGTCAGCCACACCCATTTCGGCACACCCCTCACACGTTTCGTGGCCCCATGGGGAGCTCCACCGAAGGCCCCAGTGTCCGCGCCCGCATGCGTCAACCACACCCATTTCGGCACACCCCTCACACGCTTCGTGGCCCATAGGGGCTCCACCGAAGGCCCCAGTGCCCGCGCCCGCATGCGTCAACCACACCCATTTCGGCACACCCCTCACACGTTTCGTGGCCCCATAGGGAGCTCCACCGAAGGCCCCAGTGCCCGCGCCCGCATGCGTCAGCCACACCCATTTCGGCACACCCCTCAAACGTTTCGTGGTCCCATAGGGAGCTCCACCGAAGGCCCCAGTGCCCGCGCCCGCATGCGTCAGCCACACCCATGTCGTCAACTCCCTCACACGTTGCGTGGCCCCATAGGGAGCTCCACCGAAGGCCCCAGTGCTGCCGCCCGCATGCGTCCCGCACACCCAATTCGGCACACCCCTCACACGTTTCGTGGCCCCATAGGGAGCTCTGCCGAAGGCCCCAGCGCTGCCGCCCGCATGCGTCACCCCCACCCAATTCGGCACACCCCTCACGCGCTTCGTGGTCCCGTAGGGAGCTCTACCGAAGGCCCCAGTGCTGCCGCCCGCATGCGTCACGCACACTCAATTCGACACACCCCTCACACGTTTCGTGGCCCCATAGGGAGCTCCGCCGAAGGCCCCAGTGCTGCCGCCCCTGTGCGTCACGCGCACCCAATTCGGCACACCCCTCACACGTTTCGTGGCCCCATGGGGAGCTCCGCCGAAAGCCCCAGTGCTGCCGCCCGCATGCGTCAACCACACCCATTTCGGCACACCCCTCACACGTTTCGTGGCCCCATGGGGAGCTCCGCCGAAGGCCCCAGTGCCCGCGCCCGCATGCGTCACGCACACCCAATTCGGCACACCCCTCACACGTTTCGTGGCCCCATAGGGAGCTCCGCCGAAGGCCCCATGGCTGCCGTCCGCATGCGTCCCGCACACCCAATTCGGCACACCCCTCACACGTTTCGTGGCCCCATAGGGAGCTCCACCGAAGGCCCCAGTGCTGCCGCCCGCATGCGTCCCCACACCCATTCGGCACACCCCTCACACGTTTCGTGGCCCCACAGGGAGCTCCACCGAAGGCCCCAGCGCTGCCGCCCGCATGCGTCCCGCACACCCATTTCGGCACACCCCTCACACGTTTCGTGGCCCCAAAGGGAGCTCCACTGAAGGTCCCCGTGGGTGTGCCCGCATGCGTCCCGCACCCCCATTTCGGCACACCCCTCACGCGTTTCGTGACATAGGGAGCTCCACCGAAAGCCCCAGTGGGTGTGCCCGCATGCGTCCCGCACACCCATTTCAACACACCCCTCGCACGTTTCGTGGCCCCGTAGGGGGCTCCACCGAAGGTCCCAGTGGGTGTGCCCGCATGCGTCCCGCACACCCATTTCGGCACACCCCTCACACATTTCGTGGCCCCATAGGGAGCCCCACCGAAGGTCCCAGTGGGTGTGCCCGCATGCGCCCCGCGCACCCAATTCGGCACACCCCTCACACGCTTCGTGGCCCCATAGGGAGCGCCACCGAAGAAGATATTCACAATTGCGGTATTCACAATTGCATATGGTTGGGTCCTTCGCCAGGATAATTTTAGTTTGTTGTCGTGTTTCCCTTTTTTCCAACCATCCTGTGGTGTTGGGTCCTCGTTTTGAAGAGACGGTGGCCCGCGTCTCCTCCTCTCCTCTCCTCCTCTCTCCTCTCCTCTGCCGTCCGCGTGCGTCCCGCACACCCATTTCGGCACACCCCTCACACGTTTCGTGGCCCCATAGGGAGCTCCACCGAAGGCCCCATGGCTGCCGTCCGCATGCGTCCCGCACACCCATTTCGGCACACCCCTCACACGTTTCGTGGCCCCACAGGGAGCTCCACCGAAGGCCCCAGTGCTGCCGTCCGCATGCGTCCCGCACACCCATTTCGGCACACCCCTCACACGTTTCGTGGCCCCACAGGGAGCTCCACCGAAGGCCCCATGGCTGCCGTCCGCATGCGTCCCGCACACCCATTTCGGCACACCCCTCACACGTTTCGTGGCCCCACAGGGAGCTCCACCGAAGGCCCCATGGCTGCCGTCCGCATGCGTCCCGCACACCCATTTCGGCACACCCCTCACACGTTTCGTGGCCCCACAGGGAGCTCCACCGAAGGCCCCAGCTGCCGTCCGCATGCGTCCCGCACACCCATTTCGGCACACCCCTCACACGTTTCGTGGCCCCATAGGGAGCTCCACCGAAGGCCCCATGGCTGCCGTCCGCATGCGTCCCGCACACCCATTTCGGCACACCCCTCACACGTTTCGTGGCCCCACAGGGAGCTCCACCGAAGGCCCCAGTGCTGCCGTCCGCATGCGTCCCGCACACCCATTTCGGCACACCCCTCACACGTTTCGTGGCCCCATAGGGAGCTCCACCGAAGGCCCCATGGCTGCCGTCCGCATGCGTCCCGCACACCCATTTCGGCACACCCCTCACACGTTTCGTGGCCCCACAGGGAGCTCCACCGAAGGCCCCAGTGCTGCCGTCCGCATGCGTCCCGCACACCCATTTCGGCACACCCCTCACACGTTTCGTGGCCCCATAGGGAGCTCCACCGAAGGCCCCATGGCTGCCGTCCGCATGCGTCCCGCACACCCATTTCGGCACACCCCTCACACGTTTCGTGGCCCCACAGGGAGCTCCACCGAAGGCCCCAGTGCTGCCGTCCGCATGCGTCCCGCACACCCATTTCGGCACACCCCTCACACGTTTCGTGGCCCCATAGGGAGCTCCACCGAAGGCCCCATGGCTGCCGTCCGCATGCGTCCCGCACACCCATTTCGGCACACCCCTCACACGTTTCGTGGCCCCACAGGGAGCTCCACCGAAGGCCCCATGCTGCCGTCCGCATGCGTCCCGCACACCCATTTCGGCACACCCCTCACACGTTTCGTGGCCCCACAGGGAGCTCCACCGAAGGCCCCAGCTGCCGTCCGCATGCGTCCCGCATGCGCGCACACCCATTTCGGCACACCCCTCACACGTTTCGTGGCCCCATAGGGAGCTCCACCGAAGGCCCCATGGCTGCCGTCCGCATGCGTCCCGCACACCCATTTCGGCACACCCCTCACACGTTTCGTGGCCCCACAGGGAGCTCCACCGAAGGCCCCAGTGCTGCCGTCCGCATGCGTCCCGCACACCCATTTCGGCACACCCCTCACACGTTTCGTGGCCCCATAGGGAGCTCCACCGAAGGCCCCATGGCTGCCGTCCGCATGCGTCCCGCACACCCATTTCGGCACACCCCTCACACGTTTCGTGGCCCCACAGGGAGCTCCACCGAAGGCCCCAGTGCTGCCGTCCGCATGCGTCCCGCACACCAGGTGTGTGGCGTGCCGACATGGGCGTCGCGGCGCGCGGGCGCTGCCGTCGGGGTTCCCAGGGAAGCCCCCTGCAGAGGCGACGCTCAGAGTCACGAGTACCGAGAGTCACGCAGACCCAAACTGTTCACAGTCGTATACATACATTTACACTGGGCGTATCCATGCACGCATTCATGCGAATAGAATCAATCGCGCGCAGATTCATTCATAATCAGACTCGCTCGCGA